TGAAGTTGCTCGCGTCTATCCCCGCCGCCGCCCCCGCATCCACCGCCGCCTGTTGGGTGGGCCCCGCCACGCAGGGTGGGGGGGAGGAGGAATGCGGATAGGTCAGAAGAACCGCAAGCAAGCCTATGAGGCAACGGAGTTGGGAGAGTGGAAGAAAAGGGAGAAAGGTAATTGAGGGTGAGAGAAAGAGCCGATTCGATCAGTAGGCACCGAAGGGCTTCACAAATGCCGTTGAGCGACCCCCACAAGGGTGCAGTGTGGTCATTTGGATGCGAGCAGGAGGCATGGGAGGGGGAGGGTAAGAGGGGCGAGGCAGGGCGCGCCATTGGAAACGGGCTACGCTCGTGCCAAGTGCGTGTCAAACTGTCTAGACGTGCGCAGGCGGTGCCAGGCAGCTGTGCGCAATCGTGCTTCGTGGGCCGGTGGGAGAGATAATGGGGGACGGAAATGCATGGCGATCTGACGGGGAACGTGAGGGCAGGGAGGGAGAAAGCGAGAGTGGAATCAGAAGAGGGCGGAGGGCATTGCCGCAGGCACAAGGAAGGGGTCGTGTCCTCGTAAGAGGGGCGGCACAGGAGCCGTGACTAGTTGAATGTAAGGTCGTTCACGGTCTGTGACCTCTGTGTTGAGCTTCAAAATCGCCTTCCAGACTAGGACGAACACAATCATTCAAATTCTTTTCCGCCCATTCAGCAATAGAGGCGCATCCAGTGTTTCCAGCACCACAGTTCGTTATATTCTGTCCCGCGCGGTTCGCAGTACGCTGACAATAACTCACCTTGTCGTATTTCTCAAGCTTCAAGTAGGCCGCAGCGCGGTTGCTGTATAAGATCGCGGCGAGCTGCGCGGTGCGCGGGTCGGGCTTGGCGTCGCGCACGGCGCTGGCGACGGCGGAGGGGCTGTCGAGATTGGTGCTGGCGCGGCGCGCGGACGGCACGATGAGCCCGCCATTCTGCTTGATGGCGTAGCTGTAGCCTGCCGGCCACGCGGGCACGCGGGCACACGGCAGAAGGGCGGGGAGGGCAGGAGGCAGGCGCGCAGGAGGCGGGGAGGGCGGGCGGGCGGTGTGAGTGGAAAAAATAACGCGACCGTGAGGGCACAGCCAGGTACGAGGCGGTTTGGGGGTTTAGAAACCTAGATCGGGCAAAAGAAGACGGAGAGCAGGTGAGGAAGGGAATGGTGAAGGGATTAGGGTTCTGGCCAACTCCAACACCTTGCACCCACCACCGCTCTCCGCGGACCACAAACCAGCGGTAATGACTTTCCACCTGGCCGCAATCGCTTCGGGAATCGGGTTTGACGGCTGTCGTCCGCACGCAGGGAGCAGCTGGCAGGTGGCAGGGTGTGTGAGGTTTGCGCGGCACTCACCGATGATGGCCTGGCGCGGAACTCACTCACCGATGATGCCTGGCGCGGAACTCACTCACCGATGATGGCCTGGCGCGGAACTCACTCACCGATGATGGCCTGGCGCGGAACTCACTCACCGATGATGGCCTGGCGCGGCACTCACCAATGATGGCCTGGCGCGGCACTCACCGATGATGGCCTGGCGCGGCACTCACTCACCGATGATGGCCTGGCGCGGCACTCACTCACCGATGATGGCCTGACGCGGCACTCACTCACCGATGATGGCCTGACGCGGCACTCACCGATGATGGCTTGGCCGAACTTGCCCTCGACGAAAAGGTTGTTGGCCGACGCCTTGAGCGCCTCGATCTCGTCCAGCCCCACCCACGTGCGGCCCCTGCGCCGAATACATCTTGGCGTTCGCCGCCGCTGCCGCTGCCGACGACGACCGGTTGAGCCGCGGGGGGCATGGCGAGCGAGGAAGTTCTATGAAAGAGATGCGGCGCTGCTGCTTGTTATCTACAAACGCTGAATGCTGTGACTTAGCAGGAATGCGGCTCGCACCACCGTCAGGAATTTCGGTAGTGCTGGTGGGTAGAGGAGAGGGGCGAAGTCGCCGTTGAAATGGGAAGAATATTTGCTTGCTGTCTACAAGACAGCTTGAACGTGAGAGGAAAATCGATGCTGAATAATCATGAAACGGCTCATACGGAGCAGAAGCAAGACACGGGGATCCGAGCGCGTCAGTAACGTATTTTGCAGCAATCTTGATATGGTAGGGGTGAAATGAAGCAGACACCCATTTTGTGAACCAGCACGGGAGCTGGCTAGAGGCACCCAGAGGAAGAGAATGTGGTTGTGGCACGGTGATGGTGGCAGGGCGGGGAATGTCGTCCCCCTACGAAAGCCATCTCTTCTTTCTTGCGATGCGACGCGCGGTTGCAGGTGTCGCTGGTCAGGTTGGTTTCGTGTGCTTTCGGACCGCCCTAAGGATCCTCGTTCGTGACAGTCGTCTCGCAAAAATTGTCAGGGGTGGTAGCGACTATAAGGAGAGGGCGGTGCGGCGTGGACTAGCTGCGGTAAAAGTCTAAAAATGATTGCGATTTGAACTATATTCCATAACTGTAATGAATGTAGAAATTCATTACTGTAGCCCGCTCTTAGCGGGGATAGCCCAAGCACTTCACGTCCGTGTGGTTTGCTGCGATCAGAAGTTGATCGAACCTAGGATCACCTCGGGAAGGTTCACACAGAGTGTGTGGTAGTGGTGGGCCCTTGACATCAAATCAGAGTGAATGTAAAATGATTGAGACGATTAACGCATACAAGTACATGCGTATAAATAACAGTACAGAGGAAATACCAAACGTCCTAGCTAGCCATTTACTAGGAATACATTCCCTTATTCGAATTCACACCCAACAGTGCGGCGCGTACGGTCACAAAACCGTTCCCGCCAATTTCCTCGCTCCTACAGCTGCCCGATGTTGTCTGCTCCAACGATCCAGATGCTCTCCAACTGCACGCGTCGTTTCGACCTTTTGCCTTTGTACTCCTTGCTGCGTTCTTCGTTCTTTCTACAGACAGAGATGCATACTGCAGATTCTCATTTCACTATACGTAACACCTCCCTTCATTCCCTGGCGTAGCAGCAAGCCTTGACCCCCCTTGACTACTTCGTTGAGTTCGGAGCAGTGCTGGTACTGCTGACGTGGCAGTCGCTTCGTGAGAAAAGTCTGCTGCCATGTCGCCCGTCTGGGAGTAGGTCAGGTCCATCTTCCCCTTGTCCACTTCGTCCTTGATGAAGAAGTACCGCAGCGCGATGTGTTTGTTGCGGTTGACAAATCCAGGTTTGTTTGCGATTCGGATCGCGTTGTCGCAGTGAAGTCAAAAGGTTGACGAAGCTGGGATTTTCACCTCTTGCAGGAGTTTCTGCAGGTAGAGACCTTCACGAACTGCTGCTGTCGTGGCGATGAATTCAGCTTCGGTCGAAGACAGGGCAACCAGCTCTTGTTCTTTAGAGTTCTAAGCGATTGGCCCTGCTGGCTCAAGGTGAAACAGGAACCTGGTCTTGGACTGTCGATTGTCGGGGTCTGCTGCGTGATCACCGTCCACGTATCGATGAGGTTGATGGACGAGGTTGGCACTATTGCGTAGCAAAGCCAATCTTGGGCGTAGAGATGAAGAACTGCAGAGCGTGTCAAACTTACATGCTATAGTCTGTTTAGGCTGTAGTGGGGCAGACAATATGGGGTACAACACTTCTAGGTTTTCCTACTTGTACCCACCTTCTTGCTAGTTCATTCATTCCTCATTCTTCACATGGTATAGAGCAGGTTCCCTAGTGGGAACGCTTCCTTGGGCCCACCACTGAAATTTTCCTTCGTGATCGGAGCGCCAGTCGCTCCTGCCCGAGGCGCGCCTTTTTCGCCGCCCTCTCCAGGCCCCTAATGGCCCCTAGCGGCCTCGTTGCCGCCCCTACGCGGTCCCGTCACCGCCCCTACGCGGCCCCGTCGCCGCCCTTAGCGGCCCCGTCGCGGCCCCTAGCGGCCCCGTCGCCGCCTCTCACCCTACGCGGCCCCGTCGCCGCCCCTACGCGGCCCCGTCGCCGCCCCTCCGCGGCCCCGTCGCTGCCCTTAGCGGCCCCGTCGCCGCCCCTAGCGGCCCCGTCGCCGCCTCTCACCCTTCGCGGCCCCGTCGCCGCCCCTACGCGGCCTCGTCGCCGCCCCTACCGGCCACGTCGCCGCCCATACGCGGCCACGTCCCCGCCCCTATCGGCCCCGTCGCCGCCCATACGCGGCCCCGTCGCCGCCTCTAGCGGCCCCGTCGCCGCCCCTCGCGGCCCCGTCGCCGCCTCTCACCCTACGCGGCCCCGTCGCCGCCCCTAAGCGGCCCCGCTGCCGCCCCTAAGCGGCCCCGTCGCCGCCCCTAAGCGGCCCCGTTGCCACCTCTAAGCGGCCCTGTCGCCGCCACTACACGGCCCCGTAGCCGCTCCCCTCCCTAAGCGGCCCCGTCGTCGCCCCTAGCGGCCCCAACGCCGCCCCTACCGAGCCGCCCAACAGAAAAGCCGCCGAGCCGTTGAGCAGCCGAGCCGCCGAGCCGCCGAGCCGCTGAGCAGCCGAGCCGCCGAGCCGCCCAACAGCCGAGCCGCCGAGCCGCCCAGCAGCCGAGCTGCCCGACAGCCGAGCCGCCCAGCAGCCGAGCCACTGAGCCGCCGAGCCGCCCTGCCGTCGAGCCGCTCCTCGTCCTACCGGCGCGCCCCAACCCTACTTACTCGGACTGGTGAGCTCACTCCTTGCTAGGCCACTGCAGTCATGGCTACCCCAAGTGTTCTTACCTTTGATACAGAGGGTCGTGCTGTTGACTTTGAGGTCTGGGTCGATGACCTCCAGCTGTTCCTCCAGTGCGATAGGGCAGACGGCCTCTCCCTGTTCGACCTCACCTCTGGTTCCTCCCCTTCCCCGCCTGCTACTGCTGACAGCACTGTTCGCTCACAGTGGGCGACACGCGATGCTGCTGCCCGTCTTGCTGTGCGTCACCACTTACCAACCACTCAGCGTGCGCACTTTAGCCAGTACAAGAGTGCTCAGACCTTGTACGACGCTGTAGTTGCATGCTACTCTTCCCCTGCCACTGCTGCACTGAGCCGCCTCATGCTACCGTACCTCTTCCCTGACCTTGCTGCCTTTCCCACAGTCGCTGACCTCATTACGCACCTCCGCACTAGTGACACTCGCTACCGCGCTGCGCTTCCTGCTGAGTTCTGCGCCAAGAACCCCCCCCCCATGTACATCACCCTCTACTACATAGACACCCGGCTCCCTGACTCTCTTCGCTTAGTCAGGGACCACTTCCTCTCAGTCTGCCCCACCACACTCACCGTTGACCTCCTCAAGGAGCACCTCCTAGCAGCAGAGAAGAGCATAGTCGCTATAGGAGCCTCTCGTGGTGACCCTCGCACCCCCATCTTTGAGGGGTGTTCCCCCTCCCCCCTCTTGCCCTCTGTTGCTTCTGCTGCTGCTCCCGACCTCGTTGGTTTCTACGGGGTCGACGTTGCGTCTGCCCCTAGCGGGAGACGCTGCACCGGCAAGGGCAAGGGGGGCAAGGGAGCTGGAGGGGCTGGCGGGGGCGGTGGAGGTGGTGGTGGAGGCAGTGGAGGGGGTGGGGGTGGTGGTGGGAGTGGTGCCGGGGATGGCGGCGGCGATGGCAGCAGTGGCGGCGGAGGAGGCGGCGGTGGTGGCAGAGGGAGCGGAGGCGGCGGAGGTGGCGGAGGCGGTGGAGGTGGCGGAGGCGGCGAAGGCGGCGGCGGCGGCGGTGGTGGAGCGAGTCGCGACTCTACGCAGAGGAGTGGGTCCGGTGGTGGTCCGCGCCAGCAGCAACAGCGCAGTCGTGAGACCCTGTCCCCTCAGCAGCTTCGTGAGTGGTACGCTGCGCGTCAGCGCGGTGGGGGTACTGGTCCCTGCACTTACGTCCTCCGTACCGGCGACCGCGCTGGTGAGCAGTGCGGGGGCCCGCACTCCACCCAGCGCTGCTTCGGTCGGCTGACGGACGCGTGGCGTCACCAGTTCCCTGAGGCGTCAGAGATCCCTCGCTGGGGAGATCTGTCTAGGGCGGGGGTTGCCATCTTTGATCTTGACTATGATGCTATCCTTGCTGCCATGTATGCTATGTCTGCTAGTGTTGAGGGTGACTGTTACCTCTGTGTTCCGCCTGACCCGGGCATTGAGGCTACTGCTCTAGGTGCTAGTGCGTCTACTGCCCCAGGTGCTAGTGCATCTGCTGCCCCAGGTGCTGGTGAGTCTGCTCTCTCAGGTACTACGTCGGCTCAGGCCTTACACACCTTTACCCTTGACTCGGGTGCTTCCCGCTCCTTCTTTTGGGACCGCACCACGCTTACGCCGCTTAGTCGGCCGGTTGCAGTCTCCCTGGCGGACCCCTCTGGGGGTCCTGTCCTTGCTAGCTTCTCCACTGTCTTACCGTGCCCGGCAACCCCCTCTGGCACCCTGTCAGGTCTCTACCTCCCCTCGTTCTCTACGAACTTGGTGAGTGGAGTGGACCTACAGGATAGGGGGGTTGACCAGTTCACTCCTGCGAGTCAGCGGGTGACCCATTGCACGTGTGCTCGGACAGGCCGACACTTGGCCACGTTCACTCGTCGGCCAGGGTCGAGTCTGTACACACTTACTACTGAGTCTCCTCCGGCTTCTGAGTCTGGCCAGGTAACTGCATTAAGTCAGGTGTTTGCTGCAGCGTCCTGGTCTGGTCCTGAGTCTGCTCCCTGCTCGTGTCGTCTCCTGTCCCACCAGACTCTCCTTTGGTACCACCGTCTTGGTCACCCCTCCCTGCCTCGTCTCCGAGGCATGGCCTCCCGTGTCCTTGTCTCTGGTCTCCCCCGGTCTCTACCTCCCCTTCCTCTGGGGCCTGCCCCTACCTGCGTCCCCTGTGTCGAGAGGCGGCAGTGCGCCGCCCTCACTCCTCCGACAGAGGCTGCGCTGCAAACTCTTCACATGGACATGTGGCACCCCGCTCGCGTCCGTGGATAGGGGCACGAGCGTTACTTCCTGTTGGTGGTTGACGACTACTCGCGTTACACCACAGTCTTCCCCTTGTGCAGCAAGGGTGACGTGACTGAGGTGTTGATCGATTGGATCCGTGCAGCTTGTCTCCAGCTGAGAGAGAGTTTCGACTCGGACTTTCCTGTTTTGCGTCTGCACTCTGACAGAGGCGGGGAGTTTTCCTCTGGCCGTCTGGGAGCCTTCTGTCGTGCACAGGGCATCTGCCAGACGTTCACGCTTCTGGCCTCTCCACAGCAAAATGGGATTGTTGAGTGCCGCATCGGCATGGTCATGGACGTCGCTCGTACGTCCATGATCCATGCGGCTGCCCCCCATTTTCTGTGGCCGTTTGCGGTTCAGTACGCAGCGCATCAGCTCAACCTTCAGCCCCGGGTCTCCTTGCCAGAGACCTCCCCCACCTTGCGGTGGACGGGGAAGGTTGGCGATGCGTCTACGTTTCGGGTCTGGGGATCTCGGGCGTTTGTCCGCGACTTGTTTGCGGGCAAGCTGTCACCCCGTGCTGTTCCCTGCGCCTTCCTTGGCTTCCCCCCTGACGCGCCTAGTTGGCAGTTTTACCACCCCACCTCGCGCCGTGTTCTACCCTCCCAGGACGTCACCTTTGACGAGTCGGTACCTTACTACCATCTCTTCCCCTACCGCACTGCGCCCCTTCCCCCGGCGCCGCTCTTCCTTGCGCCAGGTCCTCCCCCAGTAGACCCCCTCCCCCCTCAGGGTCATGCCCCGTCAAGTGTGTCCCAGGTAGACACAGTCAATCCTGTCGAGGTAGCTGTTGACTGTGGTGCTGTTAGAGTTGCTGAGCCTACGGGTGCCGGGTCTGGAGGTGCTAAGTCTGGGGGTGCGGAGCCTGGGGGTGCGGAGCCTGGGGGTGCGGAGCCTCGGGGTGTTGGGTCTGCTCGTGTGGCCGCCCGCGATGCTTCGTCGAGGCGGGAGCCACTCTCTCCACAGGAGCTGCACGAGTGGTTTGCCCGGCGCTGGAGCCGTGCTGCTGGAGCTGGAGGTACTTCTGTTGCTGCTGGTCTCGAAGGTACTCGTACTGGCGGTGCTGCTGGGACTGGGGGTGCTGCTTGGGCTCCTGGAGTTGGTTCTGCTGGAGGTACTACAGGAGCTGCTGGCGGTACTGTGGCTGCCGGTCCTGATGGAGCTGGAGCTGCTTAGGGTGTTGGTGCTGGTGGTTCTGCTGGCGCTGGTGCTCCTGTGTGTGCTAGAGTTGACATTGTTGGAGCTGGAGGTGCTGCTGGCGCTGTTGCTGCCGCTGGGGGTACTGTTGCTGTCCCTACTAGTTCTGGAGACGTTGCGCGGCCGCGGCCGTACTTTGTTCCGCTCCTCGAGCATGTTCTTGGTCTCCCGCCCTCCACTGGTCCTGCTCCTCCTCTAGAGTGTCCGCAGCCTGTCTAGTCGTAGTCACAGTTACAGCCCGCCTCCCCTCTTCCTGCTCCTTCTCCCTACACTGGTCCCGCTGGAGGTATTGCTGAGCGTCGTGAGCCTGCGTCTCGTCCTGCGTCGCCTGTTCGTGCTGCTCGCATTAGTTGTCGTGTTCCGCGTCCGCGTCCTCCTGCGGTCCCAGGCACACACCAGATGGCACTGCGTCCTTCGACTGCTCCTCTGCGTGTCCCGTTGCCGTCTCCTCCAGAGTCCTCTCTTCCTGTTCTTGCTGACCCGGAGTCTGACTCTCTTCGTGCTGCCAGTCCTACTGTCACGCGTCTCGTGACCACTTTTGTCACTGACCCTTCCTGTGAGTCCTCTGGTGCGCCCGCCTTAGTGGCTGAGCTTGTCGACTTTGCTGCCCGCTGTCGTCTCGACTACGCCGCTAGTCTCATTTCTGAGTCTGAGTCTGTCTGTCCTCCGTCCGTCGGGGGTGAGTGTGCTCTTAGCACGAACGTCCTTGAGGACAGGCAGGAGGAGTTCCAGTGTTTTGCTGCTGCTTTGCCTCATCTCATGTCCACGCTGATTGCACCTGAGGGAGACCCGGATGCACCAGACATCCCGACTCCTCGATCGTACGCTGAGGCGATCGAGGGTCCCTACTCCTCTCAGTGGCAGTCAGCCATGGACGCAGAGATGGCTTCCTGGAAGTCCACAGACACCTACGTCGACGAGGTTCCCCCACCTAGGGCGAACATCGTCAGTGGCATGTGGATTTTCAAGGTGAATCGGCCGCCGGGTTCTCCGCCTGTCTTCAAGGCGCGTACATTGCTCGAAGCTTCAGTCAGCGGCAGGGAGTTGACTACTTTCAGACCTTCTCTCCCACCCTGAAGATGACCACTCTTCGGGTGCTGCTGCACATAGCCGCTCAGCACGACTACGAGCTTCACTCTCTTGACTTCAGCACAGCTTTCCTGCAAGGCAGCCTGCACGAGGAGATCTGGCTGCGCCGCCCACTTGGCTTCACTGGGTCGTTTCCCCCTGGTACCCAGTGGAGCCTCCGGCGGCCAGTCTACGGTCTCCGCCAGGCGCCCCGTGAGTGGCACGACACACTGAGGACTACACTTGCGGCTCTTGGGTTTGCTCCTTCTACTGCCGACCCGTCGCTGTTTCTGTGCACCGACACCTCCTTGCCGCCGTTCTACATCCTCGTGTACGTTGACGACTTGGTCTTTGCCACTGCTGACACTGCTGGACTCGCCCACGTGAAGTCCGAGCTGCAGAAGAGACACACGTGCACAGACCTGGGTGAACTGCGCAGCTACCTTGGCTTGCAGATCACTCGGGACAGAGCACAGCGCACCATTACCCTGACTCAGTCACACATGGTGCAGCAGGTCCTTCAGCGCTTCGACTTCACGTACTCCTCGCCTTAGGCCACTCCGCTGTCTACTCGACACTCGCTCTCAGCTCTGTCTTCGGATGAGTCCGTAGAGATGAGTGGCACGTACCCAGAGCTTGTTGGCTGCCTCATGTACCTGATGACCTGCATATGACCTGACCTAACATACCCTCTTAGCATCTTGGCACGCTATGTTGCTCCTGGGAGACACCGACCAGAGCACATGGCTGCAGGGAAGAGGGTGCTGCGCTACTTGTGCAGTACGTTGGGCATGGGGCTAGTGCTTGGAGGGCGACGTCGAGTGGTCCTCACCGGTCACGCTGACGCTTCTTGGGCTGACGACCAGGCTACGCAGCTGTCGTCACAGGGTTACACCTTCAGCCTTGGCTCCGGCTCTGTTTCGTGGCGGTCTACCCGCTCGTCTTCTGTTCTCGGCTCCACCTGTGAGGCTGAGATCTACGCGGGGGCCATGGCTGCACAGGAGCTACGCTGGCTCACCTACCTGCTGAGTGACCTAGGAGAGCCGCCTCGTTCTCCTCCAGTTCTGTACGTAGACGACAAGGCCATGCTGGCCTTGTGTCGGGAGCACAGACTGAAGCACAGAACGAAGCACATTGCTCTCCGCTACTTCCTTGCTCGTGAGCTGCAGCAGCGTGGTCAGCTGCGCCTTGCTTACGTGGCCTCTGAGGCGAACACTGCTGATATCTTTACCAAGGCACTTCCGCCTTGTGATTATCAGTGCTTCTGTACGATGCTAGGTCTTGTGCCTACTTGGCCTCACTTGCTCACTTCTTGACGTTGCTTGTACTGTGATCTTTCTATACGTGCACTTGCTTGTTTACCTTTATATATGATCTTGCATGTGAACTGGCCTTCTGGCCTTGCTCTTGTGCTCGGACTGTGTGGTGACGTTGTGATCCACCCTGAGCTTGCTTTGCTTTGCTTGACTGGTCTTCTGACCTCTTGTTCTCCCCCGCTTTGCCTATTAGGGTGTGTCAAACTTACATGCTATAGTCTGTTTAGGCTGTAGTGGGGTAGACAATATGGGGTACAACACTTCTAGGTTTTCCTACTTGTACCCACCTTCTTGCTAGTTCATTCATTCCTCATTCTTCACAGAGTGCGCTGTAGATCCAGAAGGTTCTCAACCATTGGTTTGCGGGAGTACTGAGCCAGTTGGCTCACGATGTAGGAAAGATCAGGCCTGCAGGTGACAGAGGCGAAGAGAAGGCATTCTAGCTGCTGTTGGTAAGTCTGAATTCCAGTAGGGATAGGGCTTTGTTGCCGGGTTTGTGGTTCGGTCTGGGGTGCGAGAAGGGGTGGGGAGTGATGCAAGCGCAATGTAGAAGCGTTTGCCAAGTTCTTCTGCATACTTGGCAGCTGAGAGGTTGATGGCATCTGGCGTGTAGGAGATCTTGAGGCCGGGGAACTGCTTCACGTCATGGTTGCTGGTAATGTCGACGCGTGTTGTGAGGTTTTTCTCAAACTGTTCGACCAGCTCGTTGCTCGATCCTATGTAAATTAAGTCGTCGATGTAGACCGTGAGCAGAATGTAGTTCCTGCCGTAATCGCGGCAGTACATCCCGGGGTCGTGGGGCAGCTGTTTGAAGCCTATCTCAAGTAGGATGATATGCAGGTACTGTTGCTAGAGCCTTGGTGCTTGTTTGATCCCATAGAGGGACTTTCGTAGTTGGCACACACTTGAGTCCCCTTCGCCGTATGTGTGCGGCTGCTCCACGTAGATTACCGCATCCACTAACGCATAGAAGAATTCATCAATTTGGCGAAGCGGCAAGTGCCTCGTGACGGCAATGTTGAATTCCGATAGAGGTGTGACGACAAACCGTCGCGAATGAGTGGTCAAAATTGGTGACGTGCCTCTGATCGTAACCACGTACGACCCATCGTGCGTTGAAGCGCTTGATCGATCCGTCCGCTGTAGTCTTCACGCGGAAGACCCATTTGCCGGAGGGGATTCCTCTTCCTCTGATTACAGCACGATCAACGAGTACCCAAGTGTTGTGGGACTCGAGCGCCTTGATTTTTGCATCTAACGCCTCGCGCCGTTCCTTGTTGTGTGGTCCCATGAGTGCTTGGCACGGATTTTTGGTGGTGGCGGTGCTGCGCCTCTGCTGCCTCCGCCTGCTCCACCGACTCCTCCTCTCGGGGGATCTTCATTGTCATCGTCGCTGCTGTGGCGATCTCCTCTTCCGAACTCGCCTCGGGTGACTTGGTCTAGGATGGCTGCAGCAGCTTCGTCCTTGGGCGTTGTTTCTATTTCATTCCACACATTTTTGCAAAAAGTGAGCGTTTCGATTCCGCCTGGTACGCTCCCCACGTATGCGCGTACCGACCCAACTGATCAATGCATCACTTCGACTGGCCAAACGCATTGGACGCCCATTCTTTTAGGTTATTCCATTGTAGTAGACTATTCTCTACTTCCTGACCAACGCGTTTCTCCTTCATTTTACATTTTTTGCAAGACGTGAGCATTTTGACTCTGCCTGGTACGCTCCCCACGTATTACCAAGCCAGCAAGAGCATGGAAGGGTGACGAGCATGACCGGTAATTGGCACTGGCGAATGAACCATGCCTACTGCGATTTTTGCACATGTGCGGATCCTTCCACGTTGTGGGGATGAAAAAGCTTGTTCCTCGCAGGAGTTTATCTTCCATTCGGTCACGCGACTGTGTGCGTGTGGACTTATTCCCAAGCCAGCAAGAGCGTGGGCAGGTGACGAGCACGATCGGTCATTGGCACTGGCGAATGAACCATGCCTGCTGCTTTTTTTGCACATGTGCGGATCCTTCCGCGCTTTGGGGACGAGCGCTTCCAACCCCAAAATGCGGAAGGATCCGCACATGTGCACGAAGTGCAGCGGGCACTCTTCATTCGCGAGCGCCGATGACCGATGATGCTCGTAACCCTCCCACGCCATTTCTGGCTTGGTAATAGGACCAGAGAAGCACAGCCACGTGACCCAGCGGAAGAAGAACGCTCGGAATGAGCGCTTCCACCCCCAAAACGCGGAAGGATCCGCACATGTGCAGGAAGTGCAGCGGGCGATTTTCATTCGCGAGCGCCGATGACCGATGATGCTCGCAACCCTACCACGCCCTTGCTGGCTTGGCAATAGGCCCAGACAAGCGCAGCCACGTGACCCGGCGGAAGAAAAACGCTCGGAACAAGCGCTTCCAGCCCCAAAACGCGCACATGTGCAGGAAATGCAGCGGGCGATCTTCATTCGTGAGCGCCGATGACCGATGATGCTCGCAACCCTCACACGCCCTTGCTGGCTTTGCAATAGGCCCAGAGGGCAGCCACCTGACCCGGCGGAAGAAAAACGCTAGGAACGAGCGCTTCCAGTCCCAAAACGCGGAAGGATCCACACATGTGTAGGAAGTGTATGGGGCACTCTTCATTTGCGAGCGCCGATGATCGATGATGCTCGCAACCCTCCCACGCTCTTGCTGGCTTGGCAATAGGCCCGGACAAGTGCAGCCACGTGACCCGACGGAAGAAAAACGCTCGGAACGAGCGCTTCCAGCCCCAAAACGCGGAAGGATCCACACATGTGCAGGAAGTGCAGGGGGCGCTCTTCATTCGCGAGCGCCGATGACCGATGATGCTCGCAACCCTCCCACGCCCTTGCTGGCTGGCAATAGGCCCAGACAAGCTCAGCCACGTGACCCGGCAGTAGAAAAACGCTCCAAATGAGCGCTTCCAGCCCCAAAACACGGAAGGATCCACACATGTGCAGGAAGTGCAGGGGGCGCTCTTCATTCGCGAGCGCCGATGACCGATGATGCTCGTAACCTTCCCACGCCCTTCCTGGCTTGGCAATAGGCCCAAACAAGCGCAACCATGTGACCTAGCAGAAGAAAAATGCTCGGAACGAGCGCTTCTATCCTCCAAACGCGGAAGGATCCGCACATGTGCAGGAAGTGCAGGGGGCCGCTCTTTATTCGCGAGCACCGATGACCGATGATGCTCGCAATCCTCCCACGCTCTTGCTGGCTTGGAAATAGGCCCTGTTAAGTGCAGCCACGTGACGCGACGGAAGAAAAACGCTCAGAACCAGCGCTTCCAGCCCCAAAACCCGAAAGGATCCGCACATGTGCAAGAAGTGCAGCCGGCGCTCTTCATTTGCGAGTGCCGATGACCGATGATGCTCACAACCCTCCCACGCTGTTGCTGGCTTGGCAATAGGCCTAGAAAAGTGCAGCTACGTGACCCAGTAGAAGAAAAACGTTCGGAACGAGCGCTTCCAGCCCCAAGACGTGGAAGGATCCGCACATGTGCAGGAAGTGCAGGAGGCGCTCTTCATTCACGAGCGCCAATGACCGATGATGCTCGCAACCCTCTCACACCCTTGCTGGCTTGGTAATAGGAGCAGAGAAGAACGCTCGGAACGAGCGCTTCCACCCCCAAAACGCGGAATGATCCGCACATGTGCAGGAAGTGCAGCGGGCGCTCTTCATTCGCGAGCGCCGATGACCGATGATGCTCACAACCCTCACACGCCCTTGCTGGCTTGGCAATAGGCCCAGAGAAGCACGGCCACGTGACCCTAAGGGGAAGAAAAACGCTCGGAACGAGCGCTTCCACCCCCAAAACGCGGAAGGATCCGCACATGTGCAGGAAGTACATGAGGCGCTATTCATTCGCGAGTGCCGATGACCGATGATGCTCGCAACCCTCCCACGCTCTTGCTTACTTAGCAATAGGCCCAGAGAAGCGCAGCCACGTCACCCGGCGGAAGAAAAACGCTCGAAACGAGCGCTTCCAGCCCCAAAACGTGGAAGGATCCGCACATGTGCATGAAGTGCAGGAAGCGCTGTTCATTCGCGAGCGCCGATGACTGATGATGCTTGCAACCCTCCCACGCCCTTGCTGGCTTGACAATAGGCCCAGACAAGCACAGCCACGTAACCCGGCAGTATAAAAACGCTCGGAACGAGCGCTTCCAGCCCGAAAACGCGGAAGGATCCACACATGTGCAGGAAGTGCAGGGGGCGCTCTTCATTCGCGAGCGCCGATGACCGATGATGCTCGCAACCCTCCCACGCCCTTGTTGGCTTGGCAATAGGCTTAGACAAGCGCAGCCACGTGACTTGGCAGTAGAAATACGCTCAGAACGTGCGCTTCCAGCCCCAAACGCGAAGGATCTGCACATGTGCAAGAAGTGCAGGGGGTGCTCTTCATTCGCGAGCGCCGATGACCGATGATGCTCGCAACCCTCCCACGCCCTTGCTGGCTTAGCAATAGGCCCGGAAAAACGCAACCATGTGACCCGATAGTAGAAAAATTATCGGAACGAGCGCTTCCATCCCCCAAACGTGGAAGGATCCGCACATGTGCAGGAAGTGCAGGGGGCCGCTCTTCATTTGGAGCGCCGATGACCGATGATGCTCGCAATCCTCCCACACTCTTGCTAGCTTGGCAATAGGCCCTGTTAAGCGCAGCCACGTGACGCGGAGGAAGAAAAACGCTCGGAACGAGCGCTTCCAGCCCAAAAACCCGGAAGGATCCACACATGTGCAGGAAGTGCAGCGGGCGCTCTTCATTCGCGAGCGCCGATGACCGATGATGCTCACAACCCTCCCACCCTCTTGCTGGCTTGGCAATAGGCCCAGACAAGCGCAGCCACGTGACCCGGCCGAAGAAAAACGCTCGGAACGAGCGCTTCCAGCCCCAAGACGCGGAAGGATCTGCACATGTGCAGGAAGTGCAGGAGGCGCTCTTCATTCGCGAGCGCCAATGACCGATGATGCTCGCAACCCTCCCACGC